GGAAATAGATTCAATATGCTTAATGACCCAGCCACTCCCAGTCTCTATTCAAACCCAAGTTAATGGTATCTAGTTTGCATATTAATTCAAGCTCAGCAGTTTCTCGTTAGAATCTGTTTTTGAAGCTTTTCTGTTGCAAAATTGCCACCTTTAAATCTGTTACTGAGTGGCCAGAGAGGTTGAAGTGTTTTCCTACCGGTTTTTGAATGTTCTGATTCCTGATGTCAGATTTGTGTCCATTTATTCTTTTGCGTAGAGACTGTCCGGTTTGGCCAAAGTACATGGCAGAGGGGCTTTGCTGGCACGTGATGGCATATTGGTAGATGTGCAGGTGAATGAGCCCCTGATGGCATGGCTAATGTGAATAGGTCCTATGATGGTGTCACTTGAATAAATATGTGGACAGAGTTGGCATCGGGCTTTGTTGCAACGATAGGTTCCTGGGTTAGTGTTTTTGTTGTGTGGTGTGTGGTTGCTGGAGAGTATTTGCTTCAGGTTGTGGGGCTGTCTGTATGAAAGGACTGGTCTGTCTCCCAAGATCTGTGAGAGTGAGGGATCATTTTTCAGGATAGGTTGTAAATCTTTGATGATGTGCTGGGGAAGTTTTAGTTGTGGGCTGAAGGTGACAGCTAGTGGCATTCTGTTATTTTCTTTGTTGGGCCTGTCCTGTAGTAGGTGACTTCTGGGTATGCTTCTGGCTCTGTCCGTCAGTTTTTTCACTTTAGCAGGTGGGTATTGTAGTTTTAAGAATGCTTGATAGAGATTTTGTAGGTGTTTGTCTCTGTCTGAAGGATTAGAGCAAATGCGGTTGTATCTTAGAGCTTGGCTATAGACGATGGATCCTGTGGTGTGTCCTGGATGGAAGCTGGAGGCATGTAGGTAAGTACAGCAGTCAGTAGGTTTTCGGTATAGGGTGGTGGTTATGTGACCATCGCTTATTAGCACAGTAGTGTCCAGGAAATGGACCGCTTGTGTGTATTGGTCTAGGCTGAGGTTGATGTTGGGATGGAAATTGTTGAAATCATGGTGGAATTCCTCAAGGGCTTCTTTTCCATGGGTCCAGACGATGAAGATGTCATCAATGTAGTGCAAGTAGAGTAGGGGCGTTACGGGACGAGAGCTAAGGAAGCATTATTCTAAGTCGGCCATAAAAATGTTGGCATACTGTGAGGCCATGCGGGTACCCATAGCAGTGCCGCTGACTTGAAGGTATATATTGTCCCCAAATGTGAAATAGTTGTGGTTGAGGACAAAGTCACAAAGGTCAGCCACCAGGTTTGCCATGACATTATTGGGGATACTGTTCCTGATAGCCTGTAGTCCATCTTTGTGTGGAATGTTGGTGTAGAGGGCTTCTACATCCATAGTGGCCAGGATGGTGTTTTCTGGAAGATCACCGATGGATTGTAGTTTCCTCAGGAAGTCAGTGGTGTAGCTGGGAGTGCTGGTAGCGTAGGGCCTGAGGAGAGAGTCCACATAGCCAGATAATCCTGCTGTCAGGGTGCCAAAGCCTGAGATGGTGGGGCGTCCAGAATTTCCAGGTTTATGGATCTTGGGTAGCAAATAGAATACCCCTGGTCAGGGTTCTAGGCCTGTGTCTGTAAATGAATCTGTAAACTCGGGCGTTGTACCCGATGACTGGAGAATTGCTAATATAGTTCCTGTTTTTTAAGAAATGGAAAAAACATGATCTGAGAAACTACAGGCTTGTTAGTTTGACCTCAATTGTATGCAAGGTCTTGGAACAAATTTTGAAAGAGGAAGTAGTTAAGGACATAGAGCTTAATGGTAATTGGGGTAAAATACAACATGGTTTTGCAAAAGGTAGATTGTGCCAGACCAACTTGATCTCCTTCTTTGAGAAGATAACTGATTTTTTAGACAAAGGAAATGCAGTAGATCTAATCTACCCGGATCTCAGTAAGACATTTGATACAGTTCCACATGGGAAATTATTAGTTAAATTGGAGAAAATGGGGATTAATAGGAAAATTGAAAGGTGTATAAGGAACTGCTTAAAGGGGAGACTACAAGAGGTCATACTGAAAGATGAACTGTCAGGCTGGAGGCAGGTTATTAGTGGAGTTTCTCAGGGACCGGTCTTGGGACCAATCTTATTTAACATTTTTATTACTGACCGTGGCACAAAAAGTGAATGTGCGCTAATAAAATTTGCGGATGACACAAAGTTAGGTGGTTTTGCCAATACAGAGGAAGACCAAAATATCATACAAGAAGATCTGGATGACCTTGTAAACGGGATAAAATTTAATAGTACAAAGTGAAAGGTCATGCATTTAGGGACTAACAACAAGAATTTTTGCTGTAAGCTGGGGATGTATCAATTGGAAATGACAGAGGAAGAGAAAGACTTAAGTGTATTTGTTGATCACATGATGACTGTGACCTACCAATATGATGCGGCCATGAAAAAGGCTAATGAAGTTCTAGGATGCATCAGGCAAGATATTTCCAGTAGAGACAGGGAAGTATTAATAGCATTACACAGGGCAGTGGTGAGAACCCATCTGGAATACTGTGTGCAGTCCTGGTCTCTCGTGTTTCAGAAAGATGAATTGAATTTGGAACAGGTACAGAGGAGGACTACTAGGATGATCTGAGGAATGGAAAACCTACCTTAGGAGAGGAGGCTCAAAGAGTGTGGCTTGGTTAGCCTAACCAGAAGAAGGCTGAGGGGAGATATGATTGCTCTTTATAAATACATCAGAGGGATAAATACCAGAGAGAAAGCAGAGTTATTAAATTAAGTGCCAATGAGGACACAAAAACAAATGGTTATAAACTGGCCATCAACAAGTTTAGGCTCGAAAGTAGGTGAAGGTTTCTAACCATCAGAGGAGTGAAGTTCTGGAACTTCAGTGGGGGCAAAAAAACCTAACTGGCTTCAAGACTGAGCTTGATAAGTTTATGGAGGGGATGGTATGATGAGACTCCTACAGTGGCATGTAGCTGATTGACTACTAACAGCAAATATATCCAATGGCCAGTGATGGGACACTAGCTGGGGAGGGCTTTGAGTTACTACAGAGAATTCTTTCCCAGGTATTTTCCTGGTGGGTCTTGCCCACATACTCGGGGTCTAACCGATCGCCATATTTGGGGTCAGAAGGAATTTTCCCATGGGTCAGATTGCCAGAGACCATGGGGGGTTTTCACCGCCTTCTGCAGCATGGAGTACAGGTCAATTGCAGGTTTAAACTAGTGTAAATGGTAGATTCTCTGTAACTTGAAATCTTTAATGATTTGAGGACTACAGTAACTCAGCCAGAGGTTAAGGGTCCATTACAGGAGTGGGTGGATGCGGTTCTATGGCCTCTAAAAGGACCTGATTTTCAGAGAACCTTTTGAAAATCAGGCTACTTCAAAGTGTCTAAAATTGGGTACCCAAAATCACTAGTCATTTTTGAAGTGTAGGCCATAGACTATATATTGAGCTATCAGTATTCTAATTATCAAAGGGGAGCTGTGTTAGTCTGTATCCACAAAAACAACAAGGAGTCCGGTGGCACTAACAGATTTAGAGACTTAAAGACTAACAGATTTATTTGGGCATAAGCTTTCAGTGGGTAAAAAACCCACTTCTTCAGATTCATGGAGTGAAAATTACAGATGCAGGCATAAATATACTGGCACATGAAGAGAAGGGAGTTACCTTACAAGTGGAAAACCAGTGTTGACAAGGCCAATTCAGTCAGGGTGGATGTGGTCCACTCCCAATAATTAATGAGGAGGTGTCAATACCAAGAGAGGGAAAACTGCTTTTGTTGTGAGCCAGCCACTCCCAGTCCCTATTCAAGCCCAAATTAATGGTGTTAAGTTTGCAAATGAATGTAGCAGTTTCTTTTTGAAGTCTGTTTTTGAAGTTTTGTTGTTGAAGGATGGCTACTTTTAAATCTGTTGTTGAATGTCCAGAGTGATTGAAGTGTTCTCCTACTGGCTTTTGTATGTTACCATTCCTGATGTCTGATTTGTGTCCATTTATTTTTTTATGTAGAGACTGTCCGGTTTAGCCAATGTGCATGGCAGAGGGGCATTGCTGGCACATGATGGCATATTGATAGATGTGCAGGTGAATGAGCTCCTGATGGTGTGGCTGTTGTGGTTGGGTCCTCTGATGGTGTTGCTAGAGTAGATCTGGGGACAGAGTAGGCAACGGGGTTTGTTACAGGGATTGGTTCCTGGGTTAGTGTTTCTGTGGTGTGATGTGTAGTGAGTATTTGCTGGTGAATATTTGCTTCAGCTTGGGGGGCTGTCTGTAAGCGAGGACTGGCCTGCCTCCCAAGGTCTCTGAGAGTGAGGGATCATTTTCCAGGATAGGTTGTAGATCATTAATGATGTGCTGGAAATGTTAAAGCTGGAGGTTGTACGTGCTGGCCAGTGGTGTGCTGTTATTTTCCTTGTTGGGCCTCTCCTGTAGTAAGTGACTTCTGGGTACCCATCTCGCTCTGTCAGTCTGTTTCCTCACTTCCCCACCGGACTCGTCAGTATTCTAATTGTTCTTTTCTGTCATGGTAGAAATCATTGAGAATCCTAGAGTTCTTTGGAGTAAATCACTTGGAAATGCAACCCATTATAAAATTTAATTTAAATCTATATTAAATAGATTAATAAAGGTGATCTTTTCAGTCTAGTAACATGACATTATGCTGCCTCCCAAAGGATTAGCACTTTGGTCCTAAGTGGCCGAGACTGAGCGCGCTGTGCAGGCAGTGGACTCGTTCTTGTGAGGAGGGAGGGAGAGAGAAGGTGCCTTGTTGTGCCTCTCTGGAGACTCCCTCTGGACTGTGCTCAGAATAGCATTGATTGGTTTTTGGAGCCCTGAGATGTAACAGATATGTGAAGCATTTGAGCATGATTGTAGGGAAGTGAGAGGAAGGATCCTAAAGAATCATTCCCCTCCATGCCCTTAAAAAACAAAGTGACAGCATGAAGCAGACTGAGTCTGAAAGCCATGTCACTCTACCAATTTTTTCTTTCAGACACCAGAGAAGAGAGGAAAGGAAGGAAAAACTGGGTTTGGAGGCCCAGTTGTCAGCTCGCTGTATCAGGAAGAAACCATCAGGTGACTATCTCGTCTGGTCTTTTAGCACTGATATGTTTTCAGTTTAACTTACTTTAATTTTTCTAAGAATTTTTCTTTAACATCAAACAAGTGTGGTGGCAACTCCAGCAGGATAATAAAAAACAGAAAAGAACTTTTCAGGTCCATAGTCATTAATAACTGTCTGTATTGCTCCCAGGTACTCTCAGGGAGATATAGGAAGGGGACAATGTCTTCTTTCTTGCTGTTAAACACCAATTGCCCTCTTGAATTGTGTATCAGTAGTTATCCAAAAAAGTGTTTTTTAAAATACAATTATTTCTTTGAATAATACTGAGTTTGTGTATAGCAATTAAGGTTCTATAAGCAGACACTATACAGCTTCATTGGGAAGCCCTGTCTTGTATTAAATTTAATTTTTTCCCTCTCCAGCTTGCATAGCAAAAATGCAGTTAAGCAAGAATGGTTGCTGTTTGACAACTAAGATACTTCTGAACTAAAATATAAAAGAAAATTAAATGCAAAATAGATGAGACTGAAACATTAAAATTCAGGGTAAACCAGAAAAAAGTCAGCAAATGCAAAATTAAATGTTCCTACAGTGGTGTTTGCTCTCTCATATTGCAAGCATGTGGTTATATGTGTTTTCTCTTTCTGTTTTGTTGTGCATATTCCATCATTTTGATCTCAGGAAATCAAAATATAAGTGAACTTTGACTTTCTAAAATATCCCAGACTCAGTGGGAAGTATCCTAAAGTGTTTAACTGTAACATGGCATTTGTGTGACTTGCAATGGAAAATAAATCATAAATGGATGATTCCAAAGTGCTGTACAAGACACTGAGCTGGATATTGATAGTACTGTGTTTGAACAAGCAAACACCGGCAGTAGTTCAAACACTTCCTTGGTCATTGCATCCTATTTTACTGAGAAATGGAAAAGCTGGACTTCAGGGTTATCTCTGTATTCTTTTCAGAAAGGGCCAACAGATCTTTAACTTCCATTTGGACATTCACCAAAGATGGACAGATGTGACCTTGGTTTGCATATCATCTGAAGAATAGCACTTCTAGATGCCAGCAAACTGTCTTGTTCTGGCAACATTAGGGTCTGAACCCAGGTCCTTGAACTCATGACCACCTGACCTAGAGATAAAAATGCTCCTCATTGAGCCACAGTGGCACATTAGAATCTGAAACCACCTAGTCAATGCTGGGTGTTGAGCTTCAAGTAGGTTTAACTCCATAATCCTGTCAGCATAGTAGGCTGCATGGATTAGTGCTTTTCTTATTCTCCCCTCTTATTCTTGTTGTTCACCAAGTATAGTAGTATAGTGAACAAGTATAGTTCACCAAGTATAGTATAATTCTAGTTGGTTTAAGTACAGTAACTCCTCGCTTAACATTGTAGTTATGTTCCTGAAAAATGCAACTGTACGTGAAACGATGTTAAGTGAATCCAATTTCCCCATAAGAATTAATGTAAGGGGGGGGGAGAGTTAGGTTCCAGGGAAATTTTTTTCACCAGACAAAATACTGTATTTTACACACACACACACACACACACACACACACACACACAGTATAAGTTTTAAATAACCGGTTTAACACTGTACACAGTGATGATGATTGTGAAGCTTGGTTGAGGTGGTGAAATCAGAGGGTGAAAGAGGGTGGGATATTTCCCAGGGAATGCCTTACTGCTAAATGATGACCTAGCACTTAGCTGAGCCCTCAGGGGTTAACACATTGTTCATGTAGCCTCACACTCTACAAGGCAACATGAATGGAGGGAGGGGAGACAGCATGGCAGACAGAGACACACACCCTGTGTGAGAGAGAGAGATGTGCATTGCCCCTTTAAGTATCCTGACCCCACTCTATGTACACTGCCTTTTTAAGTAGATCAGAAAGTTGAGAGAGCAGCTGTTGCCAGCAAGCTCCCTCCGTCCTGAGTCCTGTTGTCTTCCCCCCAACACACACTCTATGGAGATGGGGTAAGGGGGATGCCCTGAGCGGGGGGGGGCACCCTGACATTAATCCCCCTCTTCCCCGCCCCTGCACAGCAAGCAGCAGGCTCCCGAGCAGCTCTAAGGCAGAGGGCAGGAGCAGCACATGGCAGTGGGGGGAGGGACAGCTGAACTGCCTGGCAATTGATAGTCTCCTGGGCGGCTGCCACACAGGGAACTTAGGGCAGCGGAGAGCTGACAGGGGGGCTGCGGGTCCACCCTGGTTCCAAGCCCCCACCAGCTAGGTCCAACGGGCTGCTCTTCCTGCAAGCAGTGGACAAAGCAAGTGGCTGCCAAATGACGACGTTATAAGGGAGCATTGCGCAACTATAAATGAGCATGTTCCCTAATTGATCAGCAACGAAACGTTTCCCAGGACGACTTTAAGTGAGGAGTTACTGTAGTTTAAGTCTCTTTTTGGTACACATGGAGCAGTGGGTTCCCCCCCCCCCCCGAGAGTACGTCATTCACATAGAATTTACAAATAAATGCAACAATAAATATTTTTCAAATATAAAATTTACCCTGAGGAACATTTTCTGCAGTACATCTAATAATACTAAGCAGTGTGCTAATGATTGTGCTTTCTGAGTGTTCTTGCTGACCTTCTACAGAATATTTTTATTTCTTGCACACACAAGTTGTACCATTTTAATTATACTGGTATAAAGTGGTACAGCTCCAAGTGTGGACATAGTTATACTGGTACATGTGTGCTCCTACCTATGCATCTTATTTCCCTTTGCATATGGGCATAAATTATCTTGGTACAACCACATGCATACCAGTTTAGCAACATCACACTAGGGATTGTACCTAGTGCAATTATAGGATTGCAATAATGCAATTATATTGCAATTATAATGCAATTATATTGCATTCTCCTAAGTGACATAGTTATACTGATACAAAAACTGTGCATAGACCAGGCCTAAGAAAGATGGCAGTGGCATACTAGGCAAGTGAAGACATGGAAGCTTGACCACTGATTTGTATCAAGGTGACACAGTAAAGTGGGGTTGATGCTGGATACTGGGTAGAATTACCTTGCCCGAGAAGTTGAGTGGTTGGGGGTTTTGGGGTTGTTTTTTTTTTTTTAGGACACCTTGTATGGGAAGGGGAAGAATCAAAATACATTCTGTTAATTTTCTAGATTCTGTTCCATGAATGCTCCTAGATATAGATTCTGATGTCTTGCCATAGAGTCAAATGTTCAGTCACCAGCCCTGTTTTTAAAATGTGAATGCCATTATACAGTATGGTGAAACTTGTATTTTCCTATTGCACACCAAAGACAGTAATTTCTTTGCAGTGTTCAGTTTCATAGGCAACTATGTGCAGATAATGTGGTGGTTCTCAGTGCAAGACACACAAACCTATTGTGGAAGAGCTGTAACTGGTTGTGGAGTTGTATGGGGGAAAAGAACAATTTAATGCCCTGATCTAGCAAATACTTAAGCACAAATTTAATTTAAGCACATAAATTAGTCCCATTAACTTTGGTAGGGCTAGTCAGATGCTCAAAGATAAGCATGTATGTAAGTATTTGCAGAGTCCTAACATATGAAAAAAATCACCTCATGTAGAATATGCTCTTTTTGAATCCATCATCATCACCACAATATAACTCTCACCAAACTTAGTTTCTGGCTAGCCACAAAAAGCAAAAAATTTCAGAATGTCCTACCATTTGCTCCCTAGAATTCAACTGCTACAAAAGATATAGGGGAAAGGCAAGCTCTGAGCTAGCCAAATACCAAAGTCAGTGCTTCTTACATAACCAGTATCTAGACTTGTACCTGGAAACAGACTGGGTACCAGTGGAGAATGCAGTTGTTTACTTAAGAGGCAGGTACTGCATTCTGCCCTTTGAGAAGCTTTTGAATGGTGCCAGGAAACCAGAATAGAGATGAAAAGTTGCAGTCTCCAGGGTCAAATGCAGATGGTACAAGACTGGTTCAGGCTATCAAAAACATGTTTTAATGGTTACCAAAGGTAATGAGAATCAACTTTTCTTTAGGAAAATAGCTAAAAAGTATAAATGCAAAACAAGATTTTAATTGGTTATTTTAAATCAAGGTATCCTGCTTGCTGATTTAAATCATGATTAAAACTTGGGATTTAAAGTGATTTAAATCAACCTACTCTGCCACCAGTATCCCCTCTATCTTCAGATCTATCCAGACAAGCCATCTAGCCTTCATCCAGGACCCTAACTTCACTAGCATGCTTGGAAAAGAAAGGAATCCAGATTTAATGAGAAGACAGACGTGGAGCTGAATATAATAAGCAAATGGCTCTGAAGCCCCAAACCTCACCATCTCGCCAAGCAGCATCCATATACTCATTGACCAGAAACTGAGTAATAAATGGAACCTTTCAGGAGTGCTGGAACAGTTTTTATAGTTGCAGCACTGAAAGCGGAAACCATGTATTGGATTGTTATTACTGCTTCAAGCCAGTACCCCTGAAACCTATAGACGCCTGCACGCGATAGCCATACGGGAAAACGAGCAGTTGCCCGTCACAACCATTTGGGTCTTCTCATGAAGAAATGAATGGAGCAACAATAAATCAATCCCATTGTGACATTGCACTCCATGTGATTTTATGAAAATATGCTAATGAGTGTGAATATAATGTAACTGGAATATGCTTCATGAAAAAGATGTCTTGTAAGGTATCATTACAAAACTTATAATCTACTGAGTGTGGTCATCCTATTTGTATAAATGTATCATTCTTGTATCTGAAACTAGAAATATAAAATATAACTCTGAGGTCCTATTGTAATTATGCAAGGTGTGGGCCATTAATGGTGGTTTGGAATCTTGATGGCTCCCATCAACTACGACAACTGGTTGTAAATGGCTCTGCTTACTTGCAAGCCTTCTTGTGAGTCAGGCCTGGAAGAATGAAGGCTTGGCGGGGTCTCACAGGACATGTGACCATGTCATCTGGTACTGGAATCCATCATAAACCTGGTGCTTTTCCATTTAGAAGGAGGGATG